ATTCCAGAGATTATTAGGTGCAGATTGACAAGAGCTAAGATTTGGGGAGCCCTGAGTGTGTGCGTTGGAGTATTGCAGAAATTTAGGAGTTAAAACCTCATAGCTTGCTATTGAGAGCACTGCCTAGCGAGCTTTCCAATGTTAGGATTATCCTACTCATTAGGGCTTTGGCTTGCACAGCTAATGAGTCGTGGGGGAACAAAAATACCCAGTGATAGAACTGCCTCTGCAACTCCGATCAACAAGCCAGCCCTTCTCTGGAGTACTGTGGGTCTGCCTGGCTCAGGAAAGGGAATACTGCAAAATAACTCTATTCCAATATTCCATTGCCAAACTTGTCATCTTGGAGCCAGTTCAGCTCCAAGAAGACCCTACTTATCTCGCACTCCCTCCCCCGCCATCCCCCCAGAGGGCAAACACTGAATTACCATTTGATATGTGACAAGCACAGGTTTGAGCGCTCATTCTGTACGAGGTACCCTGAGAGCTTTCTGTTGAGCAACACAACTCAGTATGAAATACTTAAGAGTTTGTGTGTGTTTGAACAGCAGCTTCTTATCTCTTTGTATACCAATCAAGGTAGATATCGAGCCCTGGAACACGTGTTCATGAAACCAGATTTCAGGTAATGCATTCCAGTAGCTGTCAACCAAAGCCCCAGTCTCCTTATCAGCTATCTGACAGATATCTACCTGCCTTCATTGTAGTGGGAGAACCTATATAGGATCAGGCTTGTTACATGCATTGATCTGATGAGCTGCTTTTAAAAACTTTATTGTTTCAAAAAGTCCACATTTAAGAGGGATGCTATCATAACCCTCTTATTGACTTTAGAATGCATGTTCAACACTTTAAATGTCTCATGTCCTTGCTTCATCCTACCTTTTATTTCAGTCTTTCATTTGTTTGCAGCCTGGAGTAGGGTGCTGTATTTATTTGTTCACCATCAACAGACCAAACAGTCTATCCCAAGGAAACCAATGCAATTGTGGACATCAGAAAGCTATAGTCCATCATTCTTTATTTTATATTTCTTTGCAGTGATGAACTTTGCTATATTTTTGGCGTTTTGTGGTAGTAAAGTTACCAAATTCAGCTGAAAGCCTCATTATCTCAGTACAAGGGATGCCCTGGAGTTAGGAGTGGTATAGCCAGGTTTTCTCCTCGGTTTCCATGCCAAATTGACTTCCCACTTTCAGCCAAGATAATACAACAACAAGATTCCATTTATAGAGCGCCTTTCACGTCAGGAAGACAATAACAACAATAATAATAATAATCCTTGCATTTGATAGTGTTTATCACATCTTCGAGATGTCTCAAAGCGCTTTGTAGAATATACTTTATAGTGAATTGACTGTATATTTTGTGGGCGAAACGTGGTAGCCAGTTGCCCACAGCAGTGTCCCACAAATAGTCGTGGATTGAAGAGACCAATTCATTATTATTATTTTTTAAGGAATTATTAACCCCGGAAATGCGATCAGCCAATCGACCAACAACTGAGCTCCTACTTACTGCTAAACACAGGTAAACACAGGAGTGTGGAGTTGGGGAACTTGCCCAACATTTTGCCTGCCGGAAATAGAATCCAGGTCTCTCACTTGCAAGGCGACTGCTCTAACCATTGAGCTGATGGACTCCACCTTTTTTCAGCTACATAATTTTTTCAGCTAAACAGAAGTGAGCATTTGCCTGTGTGATGGAACTCAGAGGCCAAATCAACCCGTGCCATGTTCCCGTAGCTCCTGTCCTTCATTATTAAGTGGTACTGGTAGAGGAATGCAATTTTATAAAAACCTCATTTTTTTATTATCTTTTGCAAGTCACAGTACAGCTTAAATGATTGCTTAGACAGAACTGAAAAATGATTGCTGAGACAGAACTGAATTTATTTTCCAAGGATCCTGATTGAAGGGGCCCTTCTTAGCAAGAACAAGAAGTGATGTCGATTGACTGGTTATGAAAGTTAACCCATTGGTTGTGGCACATGGCTGCGAGGATCGCTATTTGACTAAATTGGTTTAACCCAACTGGATGTGTCCTGCTATTCATGTGCTAATGAGGAACCCTGGGCTGAAGGGAATTTAGGAATAGGAATGGGAAAGATCATTTATAGTCTGTCTATGTAGTCTCATTTGCATTGGTAAACATCACCACAATTTAATTGTTTCCACACAATTAACCCAAATTTTCACCTCGCCTTAACATGTAAGAACATTTTGTCTTAAAATTCAACGTCATAAAGAATTGTGTAAAATTCTTGAATTCACTCCGTTTGGAAACGGGTCTTTTTAAAGAGTTGAGGAAAAATGTCTTCCAAACTAAAATTGAATTTAAGAATTTTCTAAAATTCTACACCATCTTAAATGGCAGGCAAGTCGAGACAAAGTGGAATTTCAGACCTTAAGTGTCTTCTCGCCCGCGTGTGTGTGTCGTAAACAGTAAAATATTCAGGCAACTACTTACCAGCTGAAGTTCTAAAGTTTATACAGCAGGAAAAGTTCTCACCCGAGCCCAATCTTGCTAAATCAGCCAAACTCTCTCCCAGTAGGGCAATAAACTTGGGTGTTCAAATTAACAACTGGTGACTATCCTCCTTGGGGGAGGTGAGCAGGATCTCCTTGGAGCTGAGCTAGCTCCAAGTTGACATGCTTGGCAACAGAGTGTCAGAATCAAGTCAGCCCTCTGTGGCGGTGTGCATGGTCGGCATTTGGAGAGGCAGACCAGTTAATGCTGCCGGGATTCTTCCCACTTGGCCCTTGTTAATCTTGCAAGTCAAAGCCATAATGGGTAATAATAATAATCCTTGCATTTGATATAGCGCTTTTCACGTCGGGAGGACGTCCCAAAGCGCTTCACAGAACACACTGTAAAGTGAATTGACTGTATATTTGTGGGCGAACGCTGCAGCCAATTGCGCACAGCAATGTCCCACAAACAGTCGTAGATTGAAAATGACCAATTTATTATTGTTTTTGGTTTTGGAGGGATTATTATTAGGCTCTGTGTGGAGTAAGGAAACTTGCCCAAGGTTTCGCCCTCTGCCTGGAATTGATCTCAGGTCTCTCGCTTGCAAAGCGAGTGCTCTAACCGCTGAGCTACAGGACTCCACTAGGTAGGTGGACTGCTGGACAAGCAACTAGATTGTTCGACAATGCTTTCAGTGGCAAAGCATGGCGTTTTAGTTGCTTAGACTCCAGCAGTACCCCAACACACACTTCTAGGGTCCCTATAACCTCAGCTTTTGACAACCTGCGTCAAAAACTGTCAGGAATTAAGTAAGCAGAGTTCATCCTCCGGGGAGAAAGTGGGCATTCGATTTTAAACAGCAGTTTTCACGTGTAGGTTGCACAAGTGGAACTCTTGTGTCTAGTTTGGATACAGTGATGGGTTTCCTTGTGTCAGACACCTGGTTGACCTGACTGACTTGGATGCTGCAATTAAAAGACAGGTTCCCAGCATGGGAGCTTGGTGCACAATCTGTCAAGCTAGCACGTTTCCTGTAAAAAGCCTCTTGAAAATCCCACAATTAGCAGTAATGTATTTTAGATTGAAATAGGCCACAAACCAGTGCAAGTACTGTACAAAATGATATCCTTTCAAAATACGCCATCTTTTGCATGCAGCAGCTGGTTTTGTCAGATGGAGGCTTATTGGATGACTGAAAATGTGTGCTTCAGTTAGAAGTTAAAACGTATGTATTGGAGTACTGTGATGTCAATTAAGCTTTGAAACAGGACATGTGGATTTGTTTTCAGGGTCCACCGTGGCACTTTTAGTTGTAGATAATTGCTGCAGCATGTTGAAGGGCAGTTAGTGAACAGGAAATTCTCTGAGCCAGTTATCGTATTTCCAAAAACTAGATTGTGTATTTCACTTATTAATATACAAGTGTCTCATCAGCATTCGTACCTCTTAATCATCTCTCACAAAATAAAAAAAACTAATTTGTTCATTCAAATCATGACTGTTTGTGGGACATGCACAATTGGCTGCCACGTTTTGCCCACAAAATATGCAGTCAATTTACTTTACAATGTATTCTGTGAAGTACTTTGAGACATCTCAAAGACGTGATAAGCCGCTATATCAAATGAAAAGATTATTATTATATTGATTTTGCGTTATATATTCACAATTCAATGGACCTGCAAAAAGACACTAAATGTAGCATTTTTCTGTGTATAAATGCTGCTTACATTGTGTAGTCTGAGGGGAATTTGAGGAGTGGAATCTGGATAAGAAAGTGAAACGTAAATATATTTAGTTGACATGTTTCTGCATTGTTTTAACCGTTTGATTTTCCTCTCAGGCAAAGGGGTTTTGTCTTGAATGTGAATTATTCACATTATGGTGCCCTATCACGGTATAAAATAAATGAAAGGACCCATGTATCCAGTTGTGTATCTCCATCCAGGCCTCCCGACTACCTCGCCCCGGGCTGTCAAGATCCTCATTCACAGTTTCATCACATCCAGTTTTGACTATTCCTGTGCCCTGGTGGCCAGCTCCTCCTTATACAAACTGCAGATAATACAGAACTCTGCAGACCGTGTCCTCTTCTGCACCAGGTTCCATGAGCCTATCACTCCCATATTCACTCGGCTCCATTATGCCCCACCACCCATCCCTCCTTCCCAGCTCAGATGCCTCGTCAGCTGTGCAAAGAACTTTAAGATGTCCTCCCAACCCCAAAGGCATTAAATAAATGTAAATTGTATTGTAGGATTGTGTCTGATCATTACAGCCTTCATTCCCTTCTGAGAGGACCTTTGGTTTTAAATGCTTGATTGGTATAAGTTCTGCAGCTATGCATGAATGTAATTTGTTTCCCCCCCCACCCCACCCCACTCCCATCAATAAATAAAGATAGATATTTATACTTGTTATGGCAGCACTGAAAATCAAAACATGGACAGAATGGGGATATAGAGCATGTAAGTGACTGAAAGGCTTCCATATGTTCACTAACCAGTTGCTACATGTTTTTGTTTCAGAAAGTTTCATCAGTGAGCCTAGAGACCATGAAGTAATGATGCAGATTGATTGTGAGGTGACCGCCACCAGAATCATTCACATAAAGACCTCGACTATTCCTTCCTTTCTACGTGATCACCAACAAAACCACACGGATTCCGATCAGCATTCAGATCCTACACCTACTCCAATAACACCTCCCATCATCACAGAGTCTGTCCAAGGGACTGGGTTCAAACTTTCTCAGCAGTGATCGACTGAACCCACACAATTGTTTGCAACTATGGTATCTGTTCAGAACTTGTGATTGGAAAATCGTAAATTGGAAATTTAAAACAATCATATCTTATCAGATTTTCCCCAATGTTAAACCCAAGTGAGTGAATTAAATGGTTTTATTTTTAACTTTGATATAAAATAATTTATTATTTTAACTGCGATTCTTTTACAGATTTGGCTGTATATAGTTAATTACACTAGATGTGCTCCAGTACATTTATCCTTGGACTTCTCCCTTGAGCCGTGAATTGAATCCTCCTTGAATGGTAATTTTGGAGGTACTTGTTTTGAGCAGGATTTGATGGTGAAATGTTACAACCAACGATTTTGAGAATTGTCATTCTGGGAGAGAATACTAGTCACATACCAATCAGGAAAGCATTGGTCTTGAGTAAGGATGATGTCCAAAAACACCTTTGCAAAAATGAGTGTAAATTCATGATACTTGATAGTTCTTCTTGAGTACTGATCTAAAAGCAAAGTAAGCGTGAGTTTTTTGGGGGGACCGGGGGGGTTGTCAATAGTGAAGCACAACACCAAGATTGAAAAAAATAATGGGAGCAGCCCCAATGGTGTGATGGGTAGAACTGCAGCTTACAAACCAGCAACTTTCTCTTTCATGCATAGTTTGCTTATTTCAACCATAGGGGATGTGGATCTCATGCATGGATGCGGAGGCTGAATTGGCCTTGCCCTTCCCAAGGTTTTTACTCACTGCCAAGACTCACAGTGCCACTTGGTTGGGGCAACCTGTGCCCATTGAACTGTACTTCAGTAAGAGAAGGCCAGATCAAGAGCAGAGAGAAAATAAGTCTTGGACAAATTCTTTATGTTTCTTCAATTGAATGTTGACAAAGCAGAGGGTCATGCTTGACTTCCATCTGTCTTTCAAACTTCATAAACATGCTCTTACCATTTCAGCTTTCCCTTGCCTCCGAAACATGAAAAAATAGTACCCCCGGACAATCTTGGGTTTTGTGTTGAGGGAAGGGATTCCTGCCTTGGAATGCTGTGACAGATTATATTTTCTCACTCAGGATAGAATTAAAAATCCTGGTCCTCACTTTCAGGGCCCTCCACGGCTTTGCCCCCTCCTATATATCCGACCTGCTGACCCCCATCAACCTGTCCGCTCCCTCCGTTCAGCAGGCTCTGGCTCCGGGCTTTCAGCCTCTCTGCCTATACTCTTTGGAACTGTATCCCACGGTCCCTTTGCCTTGCTCCCTCTCTCGCCTCCTTCAAGGCACGACTCAAGACCCTCCTTTTTGACCGTACCTTCAGCCGTCCTCCTACCCCCTCTGCCCTCCCTCATCCCAACCCTGCCCCCCACACTCGTCCTGATCCTTGAGTGTTTAGCACCTTGGGATGTCCTCCCGATGTGAAAGGCGCTTTACAACTGTAATTTTGTCGTTGCGTCTTCCGATATTGGCTAATTCAACACAGACCAGGGATAAAAACATGTGCCAATGGCTCAATACACCATTGTAATTTACCACTAATGTAATTTCATCCATGGTAAGGTTAAACTTACTGTTAATGAATCTCAGTATAGCAGAGCAACAATAATAATTTACATAGCACCTCTTGCTTCAGTATGATTTCTCAAAATGCCTCACAGTTGATTTGGAGCTCAAGTGTCGGCGGGATTCGAGGAGTGGAATCTACATAGGGTAGTGCTCATTAGAGAAGAGTTGTCCAACTTACAAATTATGACAACTCTACAAATGAAAAAGAACTACAGACAGACAGACACTACCCAAACTCTTTTCCATCTGAGGCGCAGTCCTGCTATCTGCCTGTTGCTGCATAAAGCCCTTCTGAAAACCCATGTACGTATTTTTATATTAGTAAAAGAGATCTTTCTGTCATTGTACACTGAAGAAGATTTGGGTGAGCTGTGTCCGAACCAGGTAGTCTATGTCCTGTTCACTGCAGCGTTCTCTCTTTCCTATAACTCAGGAATGTATGTTATTAAATGTTGCACTTTGGAGTAAGATTTTCTGTATACAGTAAACCTCGCATAAGTCTGATCTGTATATATCGTATTTATGCCTGTTGTACATCTGTCCAAGTCCCAATCAATTTCCTATTAAATGATACTTAAATGTAAATGCACTAGTTGTATTAACCATGTAACTTTTAACACCACTACCGCACTTGCCACTACCAAACTTACCATCGCCGGCTCCAAACTTTGTCTCCCGTACCTGCCTCCAATGGAACACCGCACACGCGCATCCCAGGGCTCTCCATGCTCTCCCTCTCACAGGCGTAACATTGAAAAAGAGAGAGAGGGGTAGAGAGAGTGATTGAGGGAGAGGGGAGAGAGAGAGTGTGATTGAGAGAGATGGAAGAGTGATTGAGAGGGGGAGAGAGAGAGAGAAACAGCAAATGAGAGGGGACGTGAGGGCAGGGTTTCATGGTTCTCAAACAGGGTATCCAGCCCTCAGCAGCCAAAAGGTTGGACCACCCAGCTCATGTGAAACAATCTTTGTAAGAGTTTATATTCTAATAAAACAGTTCTGTTTTGAAACCGCTTTGGTTGTGCCAACCATTACCAATGTGCTTGTGCATGTTTTCTGCACATGACGTACGGTATTGTATATGGATAGCATGGGCTAAATATGATACAGAAACCTCGCCGTAATGTTGCTAGTCAGTACAGTACTTGTGTATTGCAATTGTTACGTGTTAGTCATATAAAATCCGACTTGTACATAACTTTACACGTCATATATGATACGACTTATACTTTGCATTAAGTCGTATTAAATGTATGGTCCCAACTGATACTTATGTGAAGTTTGTTGTTTGTGTGGTACATATATATAATATATATAACACACACATACTGACTTTATATCTGTAGGGTTCCTCATTTATATAATTTATTTTCAATTTCAGAGACCCTATAAAATAATGAATGTTTCTGTGCTCCATTAAAATTTAAGATATATGTCTATTCAAGTATTTCATGCTCACATATGGGTCATAAAATAGCACTAATATTTATTTACAACTGTATTCACATGGCATGTTTATTGCTTTAGTTTTTATTGTTATTTTATTGATCTGAATACAGATTTCGGTTTCTTCTTATGTGAGGCCTGACGTCTCTCCACATTGCCTGTGTGTAGCTGAGACCAGTAACAGCCGCAGTGTCCCTACTGCAGGAGCATTGTGTGGTTGTGATAGGTACAAACAGAATTCCATTTTGAGCTTCAGATGATCGTGAGTACACAGACAGTCAGAGTCAGTTTCTAAATGTTCTCATTGTCTTGCATTGCTTTCCTGGTTCCCAAGCACTTGATCCCTTACATTGTCAAATGCAAGGATTATTTTATTACTGTTACTGTACAAAAGGCAAACCAATACAGAAGCATTGTGCTGCAATCAACTTAGCAGAAATGAATAATAACTTAGCAAATTATAGGTTGGTGAAAGGACAGTTCTCATTAACATCATGACTTTTTGGTTCTCCAAAAGAATTAAGGACTCAGCTCCTAACCTTGGGAGTATGAGCCAGTCCAGCTGTGTACCAGCCTCCAGCACTGCAGTGTTAAGGCAACAGCCATGCTGCAGAAGGACAAAGCCCTGCCAACATAAAGCCCTCTAGCTAGCACCTGAGAACAAAATTGACAGTGATCCCCAGTGTAATTGTGATAACCACTGGTGAACTATACCATAACCCGCCTGGTTGCAAAGCATGCATTCTCCACACTAGGCTTGAGAGCAGTATTTTTTTTACATACCTTTCTGTTTTACCTTATCTTAACGTTCTGTCTGTTTAAATGTCCCCAAATTTATAGAGTATCACATCAATATAGTTCCATAAAGCAAAGAGGCTTCAGAAATGTAATTGAGGTTTACTTTAATTTAAATTTATTAATTTCATTCTTTTCATATTGTAATATATTTTTTAATAAATGAAAATATATATTATATTCTTATTTATTTATTGGTCCCCATGTATGTACCATAATGCCCTGAGTGACTCTGCGAGGCTGCTCTGAATTCATTTGTACTCCAGGGCAAGCCACAGTAATGGGGCCATGTTGAGGACAGGATTTAGCTCAACTATGAGACCCCCCCTTTCCCGCCACAGATTTATTGTCTGAGCTCATACGTATACTGGGCACTTGGCAAGATATTGGAGGGCATTCAATGCCTGGAGTACCATACCCAGGTTGAGTTATTGCTTTTAGAGAGGAGAGGATAAATCACTGTACATTTACTCATGTATCAAATCTCAAATAGTAGCTTAGTACTACTGATGCAGGATTAAATTGTAATAATTCTTTACCTACGGATTGTGACATAAATAATCCAAACAATTGTAACAGGGTGATTCCTGTGGGATTTTCATTTTTTTAAAAAATGCCCTTGTGTTTGTTAGTAAAAAAACTGAACGTTTCTGGAAATTGTCAAATGCGTAATCTAATAATGCTACACAAATTGAGTCATGCACTGGAAATCCACAACACATCGATCAGCATCCAAAAGAGAAAATTAGTTTAGATTTTGGGTACGACTTGTTTATCCGCATATTATGCTGATTAACACATTGGACAATTCTAGCGTTTTTTTTAATTTTCAATTTCCAGCATTTGCGGGTTTTTCTTTCTCATAAACACCACATAATACACCCACTTCTAATTCATGAACACAAGGTGCAATACTGTGGTCAATAATTCATACCCTTCAGTCACCAAGGAGCTGGGAAATAATCATCCAGAATCCTTTAAAATACAGTAAAACTCGCATAAGTCTTAGCTTTATAAATCATATAATCGCCTAAGTGGTAAATGCTGTCCCATTCACTTTCCTACTAAAAACCACTTAGATTTCTTTACACTAGTTGTATTTTATAAAGCAAATCATCTAACTCGTCACACCTCGATCACATTACTGGCTGCGTTGAAACCTGGGAAAGGAAGTTCTGACCTGTCGACACTGGCTGCTTTAAAGTATGCGTGTGCAGTGTAGATTATTGATTAAATGGATTTTATATGATTTACGCAAGTTTGCCTGTAACTCAAACTTTCCGTAAGTCATATTAAATGTTACAGTGCAGACTTAGGTGAATTTTACTGCTTAAATCAACTGTCCATAGAAGATGAAAAACTGAATTATTTATTGTGTCCCATGATTTGGAGTTGTGTGAAACCTTTTTTAAACTCTGAAATCCAGTTTAGGTAAAACTATAACTGTTTCAAAGTATCAGGGAGACAGTCATTATCAAGGGCCTGGTAGACATTGTTCTTCTCTCCAAGTAGCGCGTGCTACAATAGGAACATGCAAGCTTCTGATCCACTTGAATTGGCAGGCATCTCGTTCCATGCAAGGTATGCAACTATTACATAAAGCTCAGATTAAAGGGCCCTTAAAGTCCTTTTTGTTTCCTTTGTTAAAAGCAGATTGCCATGGCTATATTAACAGAAACAGATCGATCCACAATCTGCGAATGAATATAAGAACATTTACCCTTTTCACAAAGTAAGTGTTTCCACTTTGTAAGTCACCCGTTCTAATAAGCAAATGTGATTTCATATGTAACTTGATGCCCTTTGTCCCAGGCATAGAGGATGCGTTCCTTAGGGTTGTAATCAATCTGGGTGGTGTATGAATACTCATTGGTAAATGGAAGCCTTGGATTTATCTGTGTGTTTGTGTGGGTATCGTAAGCATACGAGATGTTGGCATTCTTATTGTTGTAGCTATCCACTGCATAAAGGACACCGCAGACTATAAAGCAGTTGCCATATTGGTTCTTCCTCAAGCCAGTCCTCCACGTAGTCTCTTTCTGAATGGATAGGTCAGCGGTATTTAGCCTGCTGATAATGATGACCTCCTGCATGGAGCCATCCTCATCGATGGTTGGATAGATAACCCACAGACCGTTTTCATCAACAGCAAAGTCCACGTCAGAATGTCCCTGCCACCTCCTATGTGGGACCTCATTGTGCACCACATCATGGAGCAGTGTCCATGCTGCCACAAACCGATGCTTCAAATCATATTTGATGATGTTACGGGTGAAAGCTCTGTTATAGTAAAATGCCCCATCGTACACCACATGGCCAGTCCCGATCCAGCTATATGGCAGTTTGTAGGAATTGCTCCAGCGACCTGAAAGGAGACATCCAGTAAGTGAGATTGAAACTTATCAGCTCAACAATAGTCTGGTCGGTCAATTGATCTAAGCCTTCAGTACCTCATTAATTTTGTGTTCTTTTTATTGCTGAGAGAGCAAGGCTCAGAGTTCAGGCCACTGCTGGCTGGGCAGCCGAGATCGGGGTAGGAAGCCAAGGCGGATGCGGAGGAGAAAGGTAGCAAAGCGTGGTCAAAGACAGACCTTGAACGAGGGCACGAGCACGTCAGAGAGACTCAGGAATGGAGTTCAAGAAATTGGGGGCAAAAAGATTCAAAATCGACCTGCCAATAGTGAGGCTTATAGGTCAGGCGTCATGAAACAGGCCTTGAAATGGCTCAAAGTATTAAACAAAATATAATTGGAAATGTAATAAAAGTTGTTTGTCTAGGCAAAAGCAGTAACGAACACGTGTAAGTTATATCCTATAATGAGATAAGTACACAATTATTTCAAAATTTGGATTAGAAGAATATAAAATAAATTCACTTTGCCTTTATTACCATTCCAAGTAACCATACAGTGTTTAATTGAGAAATTTAAATGAAAGGGCAAGGCCAAATTCAGGTAAAGAAAATAGGATCATGGATGAAACAAAGTAATTGTAATTGAAACAAAGTAAGAAACAATACAATACAAAATTACATTTGTATAGTGCCTTTCACGTTGGGAGGACGTCCCAAGGCGCTGATGCTAAGCTTGAATTAAAGAAAAACATTACAATGTAGGAGAGAGGAAGGGTGAGGGAGGTTAGGCATTCCTCCAGCTTGCAGTTCTGTGGAAGAATCAATACTAACTATATTACAGAGCTGTTTTGAGAGTATGATACTGTATTGAGTTCACTGGACTAGTGAGTAGTCCAGTGAACTCGATGTGCCATTTACTCTGCAAGGCAATTACAGGTAACTCTGGATTGTGTACGTTGACAAAACACGAACATCAACATTCATTTCACTATTGCTGTCTGCAGAGATTGCAGAATATCAAAATGAGAATCCTGCATCAACCACAGCACAAATGTGGCCAATTGAACAGCATCAGGGGCATCTAGCATTTCTATCTGCCACAACTGGGTCTCTCATTTCATGCTTAGTTAATCCCCTTACCTTGCTTGAAGTTCTCTAGGTTGCGGAACTCTATCAGAGTGTTGCCATAAAAGTAGTTGGTGACGTAGATTCTGTTGTCTTTTGCCAATGGATCCTTCATCCAGGCCCCTTCATTCTTTCCATACGTGTAGTGTGTTTTAGGACCAGTGATACTGGACAGAGTTCCCTTGCAAATACCTGTGGGCACCAATAGCAACAATCCAACTTATAATAACTCATCTTTTTCTAACATAACCAGAATGTAACATTTTTCAGGAGATGACTCAACTAACTGGTCAAAAATCAAAGGTAACTGAATCTGACAATTTCTTTATCCAATGTCCATGCACGTTTTCGTCGGGGATTACTGGACAGTGCTGTGGGGGGCACTCTGATTGTCAGAGAGCAGCAACCCTGGCTAATATGAGGTACCAAGACCATTTAAGGTGCCACTTTCAACAACTTGCACGTATATAGCACCCTCCACACAGGGTAGCATCTCAGTGCGCTTAACAGTGGTGGAGCCTGACTCTGAGCTGGAGGGGGGAGGTGGCGCAAGCATGGTCGAAGAGGAAGGTTTTTAGGCGGGACTTGAAAATGGGGGAGGGGGCAAGGCGGAGGGATTGAGGGTGAGTGTTCCAGAGGTTTGGGGTGTAGTGGCTGAAAGCATGACCTCCAATGGTGGGGCAGAGAGTGCAAGTGAAGAGCAGGAGCCCAGTGCCAGTCGAGCGGAGTCGCCGGGTGATGGAATGGGGAGTGAGGAGGAGGTCAGAGAGGTGTCTACTGTCATCCTGGCTAAGAACAACTAGCACTGCACAATCCTGGATTTTTCTTTGTGTGTATAGCTCAATTTCACACAGGCCAGTGACTTTACCAACAAAGGAAAATCTGTATTTAGAAACTTCAATTAGAATATTTTCTTGGAGGTGCAACATGAATGGGTCTGGTCTGAGAATATCAGATGAATACCAGGTTCTCAGGATGAAATACTGCCACACTGTTTTATATTGTAGTGATTTTAATATGTTTTCCTGTGGACCCACCCAACATCCCCCAGCAAAATTCCACTCTCACATCAAATTGCTTCAAAATGTAATATGGTCAAGTGGCAGGGACCTTGATACAATGTCTTCAGGCTCTATAACTAACATCTGCCCTCAACATTGACTGTTCTTAAAAGTAACAAGAAAATAGAACCAAAAAAACAATTTGGATTTGTAGCGCAGTGTTTGTGAAAGTATTGAAAGCAGCTGTTCAGCTGGATGCCCATGGGATAAATGCTTGTGGCAAATTGCATTCCTGCTTTAACATGCCTTTTAACCCTCTCCCCCATAGTCGTTTGTCCCCATCTTTTTTAGACAACCGTATAATGGATAGAGAGAGTGAATATTTAGAGTTTATTGAGGCATTGTACCCAAGTTATACTGAAAGTAATGCCCACTCCAGAGTCATTCATGGCATTATCACTTATCATAAACTGTATAATCCTTTCATTTGATATATAGCCTTAATACATCATCGAGACGTCTCAAAGCATTTCACAAGATTTTACTGTGAAGTGGAGCGACAATATTGGGATTTCAATGTCCACCTGAACAGACAATCAGTGCTTAGTTTATCATCTCATCAAAAGGATGACACCTTCAACTAGAGCAGCACTACCCCAACACTGAATAGGAGTACACTTTAGGAGTAAAGGAAAAGGAACAGAGAAATAGGATTTGATTGCATACATAGCTCCAGTAGGAGGGAACAACCAAAAACAGACCTAATTGGCTGAATTGCCATCCATACTAAAATTTCTATCATTCAAATCTGGCAAGAGGAGCGCATACAATCCTTTGTTCATTCCTTCCTTCTCTACCCAATTTCCTGCTGCCATCTACACAACTTATTGTGCCTTCTAACTTTGTGACATCTGCAAATTTGGATATACAACTCTATTCCTTCCTCCGATCAGGGTGGTCCAACCTTTTGGCTGCGGAGGGCCTGAGAAATGTTTGCAGGCAGCATAAGCAATATTTTTGTGTTTCCCTTCCAGAAGTATAACATTTATGAGTTATGGAGGGAACGGGTGGGCCAGATGAAATGGAGGGTGGGGGAGTGGGGCGGGTGATATCGGCCAGTGGGCCGCCCTGATCCAAGTCATTTATATATATGATATATGGTGAAAAGCTGAGTCCCCAGTACAGATCCCTGGGGAACACCCCTTGTCACATCTCGCCAGTTAGAGAACATTCCCTTTATCCCTACTCTCTGTCTCCTGCCTCCCAACCAATAACCAAGCCATGCACTTTATTTTTTTGCGAATAATTTCTTGTGCTGAACCTTATCAAATGTCTTCTGAAAATTCAATTAGACAATATGCATAGACATGAAGCTAGGATAGTGGCTTATGCATCACTTAAATTAAGACAATGTTTTAAAAACTGCTTTTGAAGAAAGTTATGACTGAGTACAATCTGTGATCAACACTGAGTATCTAGCCACAGTTTATTAATTTTATTGAACGGGATGAATGAAAACGAATATCTAATTATCAGTATAACTCTGCAAATCTATTAATATGTGTATTTTTCATCTATCTGTTGATTAACTTATCTTTCTGCTTTTTGTCTCTGTTTGTCTTTCTGTGTAGCTATGCAACTGTTTATCTGTTGGACTGTCTAGCTATTTATTTGTTGGTTTGATTCTGCCTATCTCTCCATCTGTCCATCAACCATCTCCACATGTCTTATTTGGTTTCTCTATCTCACAATGTGTCACCTAGCTCCTTATTCATTTGTGTATGCATCTTTTTTCTGCCTGTGTTTAGACTACAGGTCGATCTGTATATCTCATCTATCTATCATCTTATAGATCTCCTCTCTGTCTCTTTGTCAGATTACGTTGATTCAATCTTGGCCTTCTGCTTAATTCCTAGTTGGGTTTCAAAATGCACTCAGTCCATTGCTTTGACTACCTTTTCCTATCTGTGGAATTTTGCCACTTACACCCTATCCCTACTCCTTCTGGTGCTAATATCCTTGTTTATACCTTTGTCACCTTGAGGCTAAACTTTCCAATGATCTTCCTTGCCGGCCTCCCTACCTCTCCCTTCCACAAGCTCTAAATTCAACCAAAACTCTGTGTTTAAAATAGGAGACATGTCAGTTTCCACACACCCACTGCTCCCATCATCACCAAGCTCCACTGGCTCTCAGCGAATTCAGCGAATTCTTTTCCTGACCTTCTAATCACTTTATGGTCTCCTGCAACCTATGCCTCCAAAAAACAAAAACAATAATTAAATTGGTCATTTTCAATCTATGACTGTTTGTGGGACATTGCTGTGCGCAATTGGCTGCTGCGTTCGCCCACAAATATACAGTCAACTTACTTTACAGTATATTCTGTGAAGTGCTTTGGGACGTCCTCCTGACGTGAAAAGCGCTATATCAAATGCAAGGATTATTATTATTATTATGCCATTCTCTTAGCTCTGCTAATTTTGTTCTGTTCCTCATTTCTCACTCACTGAGAAGATGGTGGCTAAACCACAATGGCCTTGCCCTTTGGAAATCTTTCATTTGTTTCTTCCCTAGTTACCTGAAAATTCTCCTAAAAATAGCTCTTTGACTTTGCTTTTCAATTAATTTCCTCCTCCTTTCTTCCTGCTCACTATCTTTATTAAGCACTTTGAGATTTTAAACTTAAATGGAAGGCCCTATATAAATAAAAGTTTTTCTCCCTATTTTTCTGTCAGTCATTCTGTGCATCGCCCTGCTAATCTGTTTATCAGTTAGCCTGAACCACTGGCTTCCACCTGAATCTTAATGCAATGCAATCTGTGAAAAAACAAATGTTGACCCATAAGTCTGAATTTCAATAGGTTGAGTGAAGCTTACAGTAAATGATCAATGTTTTCTTAGTTGAAAATTAAGGTCTTTTATTTATCCATTATTTTTGTCAATGTCGTATGACTTACCTTTGCTTTCATCTCCGTTGTGTGACCTGTGGTCCCTGTGCTGCTTCAGTTTAACCTTTGTAAACCGTCTGCTTATGGGCCTTTTTGCATTGGTGGTGGTTCTGGTGGTTGCGGGAGTTGTAGTAGTAGTTGGGGTAGTGGGCCTTTGAGTGGTGGTGGAAACTGCAGTGGTCAGAGGGATCGTGGTGGAGGGGATCGTGGTGGAGGGGATCGTGGTGGAGGGGATCGTGGTGGAGGGGAGCAGGGTGGTGGGGAGCGGGGTGGTGGGAACTGCGGTGGTCAGAGGGATCGTGGTGGTGGGGATCGTGGTGGTGGGGAGCGGGGTGGTGGGAACTGCGGTGGTCAGAGGGATCGTGGTGGTGGGGAGCGGGGTGGTGGGGAGCGGGGTGGTCAGAGGGATCGTGGTGGTGGGGAGCGGGGTGGTCAGAGGGATCGTGGTGGTGGGGAGCGGGGTGGTCAGAGGGATCGTGGTGGTGGGGAGCGGGGTGGTCAGAGGGAGCGGGCTGGTGGGGAGCGGGCTGGTGGGGAGCGGGCTGGTGGGGAGCGGGCTGGTGGGGAGCGGGCTGGTGGGGAGCGGGCTGGTTGGGGTGATGGTGGTGGGTATAGTGGTGGTGGCAGAAGTGGTGATGTGCATCATGGTGGTATTGGCTACAGGCATGCCAGTGGTTGCAGTAGAACTAGTAGTCACAGTGGTGTTGTGAGCCATGGTAGTCACATGTACAGCGGTCACAGGAGTTGTGTTGGTTGCAGTAGTGATGTGAACCACACTGGTCACAGGGACACTTGAGGCTGCAGTCATCATACTGGTGATACGGGTTTTGGAGGTCACAGAGATGGTGGTTGGAAGTGTGGTCATTGTAAAAGTTGCAGCAGGAGATGAGGTGTAAGCTGTGGCATCAATTGTGGTCAGAGACGCAGGAATTGTGAGGGAAGAAGGTCTTGCGTTAGTGGAATTTTTAACGGTTGCTGTGAGGCTTGTATTGGTTGCAGTGGCAATTGCATTGATTACAGTTGCATTCATTGTAGTTCCATTGGTTCCGACGTCTGTTGCATTGGTTCCGACATCAGTTGCATTGGTTGCAGTGGTAGTTAGAATGCTTACTGAAAGAGTTGTCGTCATATTGGTGTTGGTAATATTGGAGAAAAGAGAAACATTAGGAGTTGTAGGTGATTCTCTGAGAATTGCTGTGGTAGCAGTGGTAGGTGTAGTATTCTTTGCCTTCAATGTTGTTGCTTTCGTAAGACTAATTCTTGGTAGTTTCACCACCGAAGCTGGTACCCGAAAAGCAGTGATGTCAGATTCAGTATGCTTAACAAGCTGATCTCCAACAAACAGGCGTATTGAATCCTCACCACTGGCAAAATCATCTTCTGTTTACAGAAAGAGGAAGAAAGTGTTAAATTTAACTCAATACTTGGGAATTATTGTCATATGATTGGTGAAATACAGTAAATAAACAGTATAATTAGATCATGGCCATAGTCAATGTTTTATTAACTTTCATTGGCTGTAGATTATCATTGGATGAGAGTAATTTCACTTGATTCCTTTCCCAGTTAGACTTACGCAAGAGCAGTTAAGGAGGCATTGTTAAATTTCTGATTCTTGTGTCCATCTTCCCAGAATTGAACATTGCATTCAATGAGACAAACTACTGGCGTCTGTAAACAAATAAATAATGTTTGCTTTTGATGTAGCTCCTTTCACATCAGATGTACACATCAAAGGGCTTCACAGGATTCATTGTAAAGTGTAGTAAGTGTATTTGTAGGTCAGTGAGGCAGCCAGTTGGCACACAGCAACATCCTACAAACAGTCATGATGTGAGTGGCCAATTTTGATTGTTGGTCAGGCCACCAAGAGAAACTCCCTTGAAGAAAATGCCTTTAAATTCCTTTGTAACTACAGTACATCACATTTTCTAAGCATGCCAGTGATTCTAGTGGTAGTTGTGCTAAATTTTAATTTAATTGTTGTGACTGGCTCTTCAATTTGAGATCTTTGATACATTTATGTAATACAGTTAGAAGGTCAACTATTCAGTCAATTGGATCCTTGGAACCAATTGGAGCAGTTGTGTAGGAGGACGAGAGCAAGTCACCTACCCTGCCCCATGGACCAGAGTATGGCATGTGGTGAGACAAGTACAAACATGCTGCAAATAAAGATTCACCACCACACATGCATCCACACAATAAATGGGAAGTTGCACTGTGCACGTACCGGGATCATCTCTGTCCTCCAGGGGTTTTGCTTTGTAGTATGTTGTGCGGATAATGGTCGGTGCTTGGGATGTCTTATTCCTGTGGTGACGATTCTCCATCCACTTCAGTGCCAAGTTCAATGGAGAAGGATGCTGGTTGGAACCTTTACCACTTGTTATTTTGATATTGTTGTCTCTGTCAGAAATCTGCTCCCCTATGTATTTTTCCTTTTTTAAAAAAAAACATAATCGAAGAAAGAGTTGAAAGGGCTAGACTGCAGGGAACTCTGCAAGCTAGAATGCACCACCTTTTTTGTTTCTGCCCAATCTCAAAAGTCTACCTTTTGATTCAGGTTAACATAAACCTCCCACCACCTCATTCCAAAGAAACCTGATCTGATTTTGTTTGTTATTTGTCATATTCCTCCCCAGGTGAGATTGCCAGCAGCACAAAAAACATCTCCAAACAGTAGCTGCTCCCGCCATTTGGAATATTGGGCTAACTGGTGGGACAATGGTGGTGGATGCCCACAAGTGTGGAATCATGGCTTTCCATGGATCATAATAAGACATCGGGGGAATTGATTGGAGGATACAAGGAGCATCAGTACCAATTGCTGATTCTTTTGCCTGGACACTAACCTGAAGGACCACCTTGAACCTTGTGAACTCCAGATTTATTCACGAGATTCACAATCTTATGAATAGATCTAGAACCATTTTGATCAATACAGCGCTGTCTCATTCCTTAAGAGGCATTCACTAATTGCACTGTCAATATGCTTTTCTGTCCTGCATTGAAGCTGTGTGGAGCTTATTTCGCACATCATTTTAGGTTACTGGCATGGAAATGTTATTGTTCCTGATTGCAAGTAATCTGAATTAGTATCACTATTAGGTTAGTGGCTTGACAACTTAGCCCTTTTAAACTGCTCCTGTCCATTCTGGAGCTCTCACTGTTTCATGGAAGGTGCTGGAAGTACAAAAAATTTACTCCTACTTTTCATGTTCCCTCCATGCTTTGCTCCATTTTGATAGTCTGCATTGCTGCCATATTCAAATAGCTGAACAAAGAGCCAGATGTCTGGCTCCTTTGTCTCTTACCTCAGACTGGGCATAAATCGCTGCTGCATCTCTCTGTAGGACGTTTATGTTAATGCCGCTAATTTGTTCACTTGTGTTGGTCTGAACCTTTGTACGGTTTTCCTTTTTCTCTGTCAGATTCAAAACATTGTTGTCAACTCTTCCATGTTCGTCTTGCTCAGAGATATCTACTGCTGAAGCCTGGAGAAAGGAGGGATCAGTTGGACAATACAACAGTGTTGGGCATCTCCTTCTTACTCTCATTTTTCTATTTCTTTAATTTCACTTTTAAGGTTAAACTTGAATTGATAAGAAATCAATTAAAAGACAAAGAAAACCACATTAAAAGGTCTAGATGTAAAGCACAAACGTGAAATAGAAACAGGAAAATACTGGAAAGGCACAATAGCTTGCTCAGCATCTAAATGGAAAGATTATTTCAGGTGAAGGATCACATCAGACAAATTTTCATTTTCATTTTCAGGTGCTGATCACTCAAATGTGAATCATTATCTTTCATTTCCTGTTATCAAGTTTTGTTATGGAAATTTTCTTGCCAAATTGTGGATATTTTTCTGAATTGTGCAAGTGGAACTGAAATATTCTCTTGTCACTCTTGTCATGCCAACTTCCTGCTTATCAGCCTTCCCAACTCTTCCCTCCACAAGCTGCAGATCATCCAGAACTGACTCCAGCGCTTTGGGACGTCCTCCCGACGTGAAAGATGCTATATAAATATAATTTGTTGTTGCTGTCAATTCCTCCATGACTTGTGTTGGAAAACACTTGGTACAGGAGTAGGAGATTTTCTGTGAGATGCTATCATACACCGTAACTGAAATAATCAGTTTATTCTGTTGGAAGTGAAACAACATTGCTTCCAGTGTAAAGCAATAATGAGCAGAAAGCCTAATTTATATTATCCATTCATAATTGCACCAGCTGAGGAGAGGTCTGTTACTAATTGGAATCACCCAAAAATCTTTAAGGGAAAAAGTCTGAGTGAATCAATAAGCTGCCTCCTTGTCTCACCAGTCATGCTCCACCGCAGTTTGTTTTTGGATCGTCCTGCTGAATCCTAATTTATACTGCAATTTCCTCAATTAATCTTTGCAAAAGGCACAGAATATACCAGCACAAATGATTGTGGCCTCTTGAAAGAAAATCTTTCTTGCGGCATCCCAACCGTGAGTCACAAAGGTAAAAACAAAGACAAAAGTCTGTCTAAAGTCACCTTTAGCTACGAGACCTACCTCTTCCAGTTTCTCAATGCGCTTGTTGAGTTTGGATGTAATAGTCTGTAACTTCAAGAGGTCCAGACCAAAGAAGGCACCTTCCAGCATGTCCAACAAAGAGGAGAGCTGAAAATGATTGAAACTTTGTAACAATGGATACAAAAATATTAGACTTTCAATACAAAAATGAACATTGTGTCTGTCTGATTTTCTAAACCAAGAAACTGAGTTGAATCATCCAATGTTCAGAACATCACTAAGATTAAATAGAGTCTCAAAAAAGATGAGATACATTTAGACTTGGTTTGGTGATGCCAAGCAGTTAGTCTGAGATTATATAAGTAATTACTTTCACAATTAATGATTTGTAAAGCATTCTGAGATGTTATTTTATGTGAAAGGCACTCCACAAGTGCAAGGTGGTGGTGGTGGAAGAGTGTTTTTGTCAATTTTGCTCTCCTGTAGATAATTCACTTCAGAGCTGTTTGTGGGACATTGCTGTGCATACATTGGGGTTTCTGTTTCATCACAATAAGGCATTATATCAAATGTAAGGATTATAAAGCTACTAATCCTTGTTAGGATACAGTACCACAGGAACTAGTAGCCATAGCCCTACTAGTCCAAATGTCTTCCTTTTATAATGCTGGACAATGTGTGAAGGCAAGGCAATTAAGCGTTAATTAAGCAATCGCAGCTGATATCTGTCCTCACCCAACAATATGTACCTTGAACAAAACACGAAATACTGCAGATGCCGGAAATCTGAAACAAAAACAAGTCATTGGGAACGCTCAGCAGGTCAGGCAGCATCTATGGAGCAAGGAAAGTGAGTCAACGTTTCGGGTCCACGACCCTTCGTCAGAATGGTTTTGACAAAGGGTCATGGACCCGAAATGTTGACTCACTTTCCTTTCTCCATAGATGCTGCCTGACCTGCTGAGTGTTCCCAGCGACTTCTGAATATGTAGCTTGAGTTCACGTGTGCTTGCAACAAACCTTAAATCCGTTCTTGGTTCCCCCTGGAGTTGTTTCAGTTTGTTCTCTGCATCACAGGGGTTGAGAACCGAAGGTGGAGCCACGCAAGCGCATTTACAGTGGGGTCCCGAGTTTATGGTCTCCACAGTGTAGACATCCTCCGGTTTAGCTCTACCTTCATTGATCCTCTGACAGGCCTCCTTGCTCAGGGGTCTGAGCACACACTTACAGCGGCAATCCGAGCCCTCGGACACGGCCTTCACCTTATAATATTCCCCAAAAGCTAGAGGCAAGGAAATAAGTAATTACACCTCGTGCCTGGGAGAGATCCATGTAAAGTTTGTTTTATCATTAATCTGAATTGATCACAGTTATTATATAACACAATAATTATATTGTTAGTTTTTTTTTACCGCTTTGAACATTGCCAACTAAATCAAACGTATCTGCAGAGTGAAGAACAACTCCAATGAAACAACCACCCTGTCGATAATTCAAAAGCGCTTTATGATTGAAAGACACAACTTTTTGTTTAAAAATAAAAGCAAGAACATGCCAAGAAAATCATCTGTTATTGTGGAGACTCGCTTAGTTATCAACCCAGCCTCGATAACATCTATCCCATGTGGAGTTTGATTCCCTTTCCAAAAAAATTGGAAGTGAAAATTGGGGAAGATGAAAGACTCCATAAAAGTGCTAGACATGCATCTTTCTGTGTACACTTAGAAGGTTGCAAATTGTTGCATTTGATATCTGCTTATCTCAGCCTGTCTTCAACCAGCAAATACGTCGGTTTGGCTGTATCTGTGTCTGTCTGGACATTGCTGAATGTTTCAGATCAGAGATGTAACTGGTGTTTGCAACCGCAGTTTACTCAACTCATGGCATCATTATGCTGGTTGTGTCCCGCCTGCTGCACAACGCAAACTATTTTTGTTACCTGTTTTAAGATGCTTTCGTGTTTCTCCAGTTCATTTGCCTGTGCTTCCACCTTAGTTTCATCTTTCAGCTCTTCCCAAAGATAATTCAGATTTTTCAGATGTTTCCCAGTGATGTTCGGGAGCCGACTGTCCACAGTCACACCTCCACACAGAACACAACTCAAGAGCCAGACTGCAATAAGCATCTCAGCAACTGGGAAAGGACAGAGCTCAGCTCAGTCAGTCTTTGGAGGAAGAATCCGGTTGAAGTTATATTGCAGAAATCGCGAATCACAGACAACTACTTGCTCCCACTGGCTGTACAGCGACAATATTCCAGATCTCCAGAAAAATCAAAGCTCAACATCCAGTTGCAGGATTGAAGTAGTCCAGATTCTTCAGGGCAACATGAAGGACTTGCTTTTTTTATGTGGGGTCCATACGTAGAGAGGAGAGAAACAGCACTGTGTGTGTGTGAAGGCTTCAGTGCTTATGGTTGCAGATTGGAGAGCAAAGCCATGTCTGTGAATAAACTCTAGGAGGAGTTTTCCTGCTGCAGGAGGCTGGAATAACAAACTCTCTCTCTCTCTCTCTCTCACACACACACACACACACACAGCTAAATTAAAGAAATACAATGAAGAACCGCCAGTGCAGAAAATCTGACGTTTTGGAGAAAAGAAAGAAATGTTTTGAAGAAATTCATTCCTGTTCAGAACGAGCAAAGATCCACCCAGTCAGGAGCAGCCCTTGAGAAGGCATTTGAGAGGTATTCCAAATGGATCGTAACTCTTAAACAGGCACATGGATAACTTTTATTAACTTGAATTAGAGCTATAGTGTGAATGTCTGATGAAAACCCATTAACTACGTGTTGACCTGATGCAGCCAGGTGCCTTTTTCCAACAGTTGGAGGGAGTCACAACCATCAAGAGTGGTCTTACATCTCCCTCTAGTGACTGCTGGGGACCCTGACAGAGACCTGGGAGGAGGTTACCTAAAGCTCTTGCAGGTGGAAATAATTAGCCACCAGGCAGATATGGGTCAGGAAAAGAGGACAGAAAAAGTAAATACTCTACCTGTGAAGACGAGGTAAATCGAAGAGGCAGTTTCTATATGTAATCAATGGTCAGCAACAATGGTATCATTGTTTTTGGTGATTTCTGGATGAGACATGAACTTTAATAACAACAATAATAATCCTTGCGTTTGATATGGTGCCTTATCACGTCTTTGAGACGTCTCAAAGCGCTTCGCAGGATATGCTGTAAAGTGAATTTACTGTATATTTTGTGGAGGAATAACTCTATGTTCTTCAAATTAATGTCGTGGAATTGTTAACGTTACTCCAGAACAGGCAAATGGGGCTTCAGTTCAGTATTTCTCCCACAAAATACACAGTCAATTCACTTTACATTGTATTCTGCGAAGCACTTTAAGGCATCACAACAACACGATAAAACGCTATATCAAATGCAAGGATAATTATTATTGTTGTTGCAATGGACAGAACATCCATTCCACCAGTTAATCCCTCAGTATTGCTGGAGTGCAAACCAGGATTATAGTTGACATCTTGGAATCTAATAACATTATGATAACAATAACATTAAGTAACAAATAATGTTCCATTCAAATTGCACACACTACTGAATCGATCCCATTTACAACAAGCTCACACTCATAATCCTTGTATTTTATATGGTGCTTTATCATGCTGTTAAGACATCTCATACCTCTTCACAGGATTTTACTGTGTTCTGTTTTTATAAAGGCAAACATGATAGCGAATCCGCACCAGCAAGGTCCCCCAAACAACCAGTGAAATTGAAAGGAAAATTAAAGGAAGAAAGAGGAAAGAAAAATTTATTAAAAATGTGACAGAGAAGCAAGGATCTTAGGGATGGGCGGCAGCCATGTAAGATGTAAGATGCTGAATTGTGTCATAATCCCCAAATGTTATAAAGGATGATATATATATGCACACATGTAGTGGTTGTCAATTGCACCCTGATGCCCTGTCTCATGACTGTAGAATCACCGGTTAGGGGCCTTCATTGGAAGTTCTCTGCTGCTGTGATGCATAAGCAAAGTGTACTGTGCATATTGGTGACCTGACAGAATAGGGGATAACATAGAGTTACTCTCATCATATATAATTCGTCTTTCAGCAATTAAGGAAGACGTGCAATCGGCAGACTATTCAATGAGACTGCAAAGAACAAGTGGCAAAAAAAATCTATGTTTTGCAACAATGGAGAAATTAATCGCAACAGCAACAACGTGCGAAGTATAAAGTAAGAACAATTCAGCCTCAGCATTTCAGTAAATATTCCCAGGTTAGATTCCTCCTCCTCCCACCCCATAATCATTTTCATTCATTGTAGAAGGTAGCAACAGAAAACCTGTGCTGTTTCCTTACCTGGGGAGTTCTTGCTACTGAGACTTTGTAAATGCTTGAGATGGGAAAGTGTTTCATTTCACAGCACTAATATCCCTAATATTGATGAACAAAATATTTACAAATCCGTTTTTAAAAAATTGGCTTTTGTTACGTTCTGTGCTGTAAACTAAGGGTCCACTAAGTCCAGCTAATACCGTTTGCTTTCTCAGGGACAAGAAATGATCACAGCGACACACAACAGCATGTAAACATTGAAAGTAATTTTTAATATTCAATTAAAGCAAAATAATAGGTGGCTGTAAACCTGTAGTCCAGTAAAAGCTTGATGCCTTCATATGGTGAGGACTTAAAATTGTATTCAAATTTTCCTCATAATTATATGCTGGATACTAGAAATTTAATTATAATTTGTAGTATTCAGCATTTAAAAGTATCAAAATATTATCCGTGGGGCAGGTGGATTTTGTGAGTCATCAGGGAAATTCAGCGCTTAGTGGTTGAATCTTAACTAACGTCAGTACCAGAAATTAAAAGAAAATCCCACAGCTCAGACCTGAAGAGAATCCCATTACAAGAGATTCATCATAGATATATTTCTGCATCCTACAAATTGCACTTCAATCTGACACCTGTTGCAGGGACCATTAATATAGCTTAAAACATAGGGCCTCTTGCAGCTATTTATAGTGTATTGATGTGGAAAGACAAACTGAGTTGACTGCTTAGTTGAGGTTCAAATCAAACATTTTGACTATTTAAAAAATAAATGTTAAAAATTGTATATAACACACAGAAATCTCATAATTTTAATTAATAAATTAATCTAAGCAGTAATAATGTTTTGAAGTAAATGTTTACCCAGGTTCAATCATCAGTGCTTATTGAGTTAGCTCACAGCCTAGCTTAGTCAGTAGCACTCATGCCTCTGAGTCAGAAGGTTGTATTTCAATTACCACAAGATGACTTTGGACTGTAGGCTGACACTTCTCTGAAGTGCTGGGGGAGCACTGCTGCTGTGAGCACTGCCCTCAACTGTCCTTTCCCCCATATCCGTGCCATGACCCAATCTGTTTGTTGTGGGAATTCCCGAAAAATACAGTACAGAGCAAGTGAGCTAGTTGTCGAAATACTCGTGAATCATATCTTAACGTGCCAATAAGTGGTTGTTTGAAAATGAATCCTGATTTTCACTATATTTAACCAGAGTTTTTTGTTGAATTCCCCCGCCCCAAGATTCTCTTCCATTTTGTGTTGGAAAAAAATGATCTTGAAAAATAGCTGGATTTTAGTTTGTAAATTTGAAAAGAAGACTTTAATTGTCCTTGTTACACAGCAAAATAGAAGTGATTTTCTACAAAACACGTAGTATAAATGTTTCATTGAATTTCATTAAATATCCAAAAATATAAGAAAACTTTTTCAATGCACCAGAAAGGGCTCTGTACGTGATTTTATCACTCTTGCATTTATTCTCACACTTAATTTTCTCCTGTATAATTCTATCCCTACTTGTTACCAATAAAGAAAGAGAAAATACAGGGTTGACAAAATGAACTGGGAACGCCTCTGTATGCTTGGTACAGAGAGAATCAGTTGGTTGAGAGACGGGTGTGGGGGTGCTCCATCCTTTGCTTTTCTCTCACATTCATCTCTGTGCTCTTCTGCATGAAATCAAATCTCATTAAATTCTATGAACAAATACAACAGCAAAATTAGTCTTACCAGCGTTTAGTTCAAAGACTTTAATCTCAATGAGAAAAGACAGTGACATTTAGACTGCCTCCCATGGCTCATTTGTTTCACTGTTATGACATAATAAACATAACTCTCAATCAATGAAATAGCATCAGGTCATGAAGATTGCATTATTTGCATCTCGTAGTTTTACAGATTTAATCGTGAACATTCTTCTTAAAAAAAATCTTCAGGAAACAGGGAAGATCTTTATTGGCTGAAACACTTGGAGGGAGTGGAAGTCTACTGGCAACAAGAAATGTACTCAATATTCTTTCCTGCACAAAATCCATGCATTATATATTGTGCAGCTTCATTCCCTCAAGGGCTGTCATCTCTGCAATAGAGATGAAGAGAAAGTGGTAGTTAATAAATAGGTTGAATCTAGGAATGGAGGGTTGTTTGGTGATTTGATAGTGTGATTAGCTTTGACTGTTCTTCAGGTGGCAGGTTGAAACAACTGCATTTCGGAAACATCAGATTCTGAAATTCGATTTAGCACAAGAGATTTCCTCCCAAAAATTGAGGAATAACCAGCAGTTTCTAGCAGTTAACCCCAACATTGAAGCTCTATTTTAGCTAGCTTTTTATTATTCATCTTTCCCATTTTAGATTATACAGTATTTTTGACGAGGATAGACTACAAGCTCAGGCTAAAAAATGTTGAAGGTGAGGGATCATCGATGGAGTATCCAACCAGCATAGCACAAAGCATTGTGGCTGTGATTCTCCTTGTGATGTGTTTCTGAATCTACCATAGGCACACTAACTGATTGCAATGCCCCTGACTGAGATCAGCTATGTCAGCAGAGATTGTGGATTCAACCTGAGACATTACCAGCTAAATATTACTACAGCTTGGTTGCCATGTGGCTGGGCACCTCTCAGTAGTATATTTACCATCATGAACCATCATGGCATGGCTGTTTTTTAAATAATAATCCTTGCATTTGATATAGTAATGTTTCATCATATTTAAGGCTTTAAATATTATTGTGTCCAGAATCACAATGTATGTGGTTAGTTGAAATTACAGAATTATTGAAGGCGCCTGACTTCATGACTATTTGTGTAGAATTGCTGCAGGTCTCTGTGATTAAGACAAGGGAGTGCTCATGTAACAGTGATTAAATAGACTTCAAACCATACTCTAGTGACAATTAGCACCTCAGCCCTCTTAATTAAGGAAAGGAGGGATCCCCTGATGGGTCAGCAAGTTTATCCAAGTAAACAGCTGATAGTAGTTCAATCTTTAGTCTTGGTTAATTTCAGTTTTAGTGGCATTAATTTCAGTTTTAGTGGCATTGTGGGAAGAGGAAGGATTGGTATTTGGGGGGTGGGTTTGCTATCATTGCTTATATGACAAATTCATTTGTTGAGGGAGAGGAACATTGCTGGCAATGGGGACCAGTAATTGTGGCAAGACAGAAATCAGAGTGAGAGCTGATACCAACAATGACCAAGCAGCTAAACTGAAGGTTGGCACGGACATATCCAATCCGGAGTGTTAACACATACAGCAAATGTTTCAATGAAGAATTTCCAGTTCTTGCGTTTTTTAATTTACATAAATTTTACATAGCCTCTGCATCACAAAACGTGCTATTTGGCCCAACCAATCTGTGCCTATGTTTATAATGCATTCCTTACTCCCTCCCATGTATAAAACATGATTGTTGGGCACATAATCTGACCATCATCCTTTGCTTCAATTGTCCCCTTTTTATTTTGAAAATTTCCCTTTGCTTCTCAGAAACATAAATGTAGTTGTAATGTATCTTTTGTCAATATTCCACTGTTCAATTGTTATTACTCATTACTGTACTTTTGGAGATATTGCTAGGGCACATTGCATCCTGCATTTGCTCATATAATATTTAGTACACTTTAAAGTACATGGTAACTGTTTTCACATAAAAGGGACTATATTAACTGCAAGCATTATTATCAGGGTCCAATCTGTGGAAATTCTGTTATGAGATGCCTCAAAAAGAACTGGAACTATATCACTCACCTCACACCTACCCCAGGAAACAGATTACGTTGTTTCCAGTTTTTTTTTATTGAGGTATCCCATTGGAAATTTGGGCATAGCCTGATTTATTATATAAATAATTTTATCACAGCCACAGTTTAAACCTGTCCTTCAACCAATCATCCACACAAGTAATGGTGACTACAGACAATGGCCAAGCAGATAAACACTTACATACCCTTCCTTTCAACCTGTTGTAACCTCACCCTGTACAGGGGGCTTGGGAAAATACTTGGCTAACACTCATCACCTCTCCAACAATAAAATTACACCAGTAGGAAATGTGAAGTAATTTACAATGGTAGAAAGAATAAAGAGGCCAACTATATCCTGGATGATACGAACTTAAGAGAGGTAGAGGAATAAAGGAATCTAAGGATTCAGATTCACATAACTCTAAAAGTAGCAGCGCAGATGAGTACGGCCATAGAGAATGCAAATAGGGAATTAAAATAGATCAATATTGTTAAATTTATATAAAGCCTTAGTTAAACCACATTGTGCAGTGGGAACCGTGTGCAGTGAACCACTCGGCACTAGGGGGAGCTCAGTGTATCTACACATCTGGAGATCAAAATTCCATCACGTGAACATGCAGTTCAGACCTGCAATGTGCTTCCCAATAAATTGAGTTTGCTTATAATGCAATTGCACCGTAGACCCCAGTCACATGTGCCCACTTGCACCAAGGCAGCAGAGAAATCACGAAGTAATGTGTTTGATGTGGAAGGGGGAGGAGAAGGAACAAGAGGAACAATAGCTATGACATTTACCTCCCATAATTCCTGAAATAATAGTCTTGCACCCATCCCTCTCCAAGTATTATCTGTAGCAATCTGTTCCTATGTTCCTAGGTCTAGTGTTGTATTGCCACAAATGACAGGTGGGACTAAAGTTTCCTCAGCTTCTGATTTTATTCTTATTGCATGTCCTCCACTCAAGCTATAATTGGGAATTTAGTAGATTGCCAAACCAGCTCTGTGCGTTGCTGCCCTGACATACCACCTTCAAAGAGAATCTATTTTATTGATCTGCTCTTTGCTTCCATATTATCAGGACCATCATTTTGGAATCAGGTCACTAAAAAGTGAGGCTTTCCAATCATGCAAACAATGAAGTACCTCTATCTTTATTTAAAAATAGCATGATTGATAAAATCTGACAAAAAAATTATCTAACTTGCTGCTTTAGATAAGCACACCACAGACACCAAACATAATAAAATAAAAATAAATAAAAATTCCAGTTAGGTCAAGTGGTTCTTACAAATATGAATATACTGTAAATGTAAAGGTGGGCAATGATTACATTTTAGTGTGTAATAATGTATTTATTGCAGCATGTTTGCATTTGAATCAATTTAAGAATTCTGGCGGTAAAATGTGAAGGCAGGCATTTAGGACACACTGCAGGAAATATTTCTTAAGTATAACTGGATTCTGCAAAGGGGAGGTATTAAGAAGGATAAAATCCAATGGGTCAAAGATCTTTTCTTCCTTTCTTTAGGTTCTTCTTTTACTCTTAGGTTTTTCTGACAGTGCTGTTCTCACTGCTCACTTGCCAAGAGATGTCTGGAGTGAGTTTTCCCCTTGGCTGAGCCTCGTGGGACATTGTGGGCACAATCTGTCCCTGCTTTACAACCTCACCGACCTCAACCAAACTCCATTTATGTTTGGTATGACAGACAAGATCATAGAGAATTGATTCTTCTTTTAAAACACTTTATATCTTTTTATTGTGAGTCCAGTTGTAATTTTGATGAACAGTATATTNAAAAAAACACAAAGTTCGAATTTAAGGTGCAGTGTGAAGCCCGGCTGCTGCAGTATCTTGGCTCAAACGTACAGAAGAAATGATGGAAAGAATAGACCTTTAATCTGGTTTCCACATATCTGGATCTGCATCCTGGGTGAGTAGGAGCATGTGATGCTGGGTGAGCATGTGTGGTTGTAAGTAGGGTTACCAGAAATTAAAATAGATTTGTAGCCCAAAGTCAAGCAAAAACTAGCCCAAATGTATCATATATAGTATTCCAGACTGTATATTGTATAATAGAGTAATCCTTGCATTTGATATAGCGCCTTATCATGTGGTTGTGATGTCTCAAAGCGCTTCAAATTGTATAGTGAATTGACTGTATATTTTGTGGGCAAAAGTGGCCCCATATTATGCGTAACATACTATGAGTAACAGAGTACTTTTGAAACAGTGTGAGAAAAAGTCTTCAAAAGAGGGGTGGGGGGACGTTTTATAGGTTTAAATTAAAATTTTAAAAATGAGCCACCGAGCCAAAGCCGTTTTTTCACGTACAATAACAACAAAAATAAATTTAAAAATAAAAATGACGTGATAAGGTGCTATATCAAATGCAAGGATTATTACATTATATTAACAAAGACGAAATGTCTATCTGTCTGTCAAGAATACAATAACTGATTGACGTAGGGACATGATTTATACCTCATTGGAAATGTCTTGCATGGGGAGTGTCATGGACATATTTTGGGGGATCTCCTATCGTTGATGAGTTATATTAAAAAAAAGTAAAAATGCTTTAATTAAGCCTCAAACAAGTATGCGTGGTATTCTGCGACAAAGTAGCGACAGAGGTCACACATCCTTTTAGAGAGATACATCCTCTATATACTAATAAAGGTGAAATGTCTGTCTGTCTAACCCATTGACGTAGAGACATGATTTATACCTCATTGGAAAGGTCTTGCACATGGGAGTGCCACGGGCATATATTTTTTCGGGGATCTCCTATCGTCACCTAAACAAGCGCATCGCGTATGTATGGACTCCAACAAGGAGTCCGCCCAACACGAATCCAACCACAGGAGTCGTCCCTATAGGAGTCCTCCCAACCAGAAGTCCTCCCACAGGAGTCCTCCCAAAAGGAATCCGTGTGCAAATATATGAACAAGCGACGCTACCCCGAGTTCAACAGCATATTTTCCTAACCTTCAGGGATAAAGATGCCGAAGAAGCGAAGATCAAGCCTTTCGAGGACAAATTAAAAACGTCAGATGAAAGAGAGAAGGCCGATTATATGAAAACCGGTTGCAAGGCGGAGCTGCAACGGGTACAGCTGGTCATTAAAAATAATAATAATAATAGTAATAATAATAATAAAACGCCCGATTGGGGTGTGAACCCGCCCAATCGGGGACGTTGACGGTTGGTTGGGGGCGGGCGGGGCGGTTTGGGTGTGAACCCGCCCAATCGGGGACGTTGACGGTTGGACGGGGGCGGGCGGGGGCGGTTTGGGTGTGAACCCGCCCAATCGGGAACGTTGACGGTTGGTTGGGGGCGGGCGGGGCGGGCGGGGCGGTTTGGGTGTGAACCCGCCCAATCGGGAACGTTGACGGTTGGGGCGGGCGGGCGGTTTGTGCGGTTTGGGCGGGCGGTTGGAGCCCTCGCGCGCTGATTGATGGCCGCTCGCGCTGAGTGCCCGCCCACTGCCCGCGCGGTGGCTCAGGAGTCGCCAGTTTGCCAGCGGCACCAGCAGCGGCTCGGGGATGTACGGCAGCGTCCAGCCGCCGCGCCTCACAGCATGAGTCCCGGGACACGGTGCAGGTGAGCGTTTCCCTCCCCCCCCAACCCCCACCCCTTTTGACCGTTTTTTTTAAAAAAAAAACTTGAAAACGTCGTGCTGTTTGAGATGCTCGTCACGGGAAGGGGGGGTGTCGTGTCTCTCTCGGTCCCCTGTATCCCCCCCCCCCCCTCAGCCCGCTGGCCTAAGGCTCAGGCTTCGCGTCCTCTCGGCGAAGGAGATTTAAACCGAGCCCGGGTCGAGGGGAGGTGGTGGGGGGGGGGAGGGAGGGAGGTGGTAGCGTCTGCCCTCCTCGGCCTCGGGTTTATGCTCCGGTTTCGGGCTGGGATGGGGTCCCGCCCGCCCCCCCCCGGCCCCGGCAGCGGGTGAGGAGGAGCGCGGGTCGTGAGCGCAGCGCAGGTGCCGTCTCCCCCGAGTCGTGGGAGGCACCGAGACCGGGGTCTGAAAACGCTCGAGCGAACGCCGTTCGTGGACGTTTACACCGCGCGACCCGAACAGCCCCGCGAACACCGTCCGTTCTCGCGGGTGGAGTTGTTCGTGTGTGTGTCTGTGTGTGTGTGTGTGTGTGGTGGGGGGGGAAGTGAAGGGAGGAAATAATAATACCCCCCGCCTCCCCCCCCCCCCCACCTCCCGCCTCGAGATTGAAATAAACTTCCTCGCGCGATTGTGTAAATACTGTAATCGTACACGTTGTCTTTTTCCGTGTGTGTGTGTGTGTGTGTGTGTGGGGGGGGGGGGGGGGGCGAGGGGTAAAAACCCTTCCGACATACTCTCTGCCCAGTTTACCACCAGACATCCTCGGCGAGAAGCTCAACCCGACGGGGGGGGGGGGGGGGGGGGGGAGGGCTGTCCATTGCTTTGGGGTTTTAAGTTATTTCCCTCACTATGCAAATCTTGAAGGTCAGTTAAATAATAATAATAATAATCCTCGCATTTGGTATAGGGCTTTTCACGTCGGGAGGACGTCCCAAAGCGCTTCACAGAACACACTGTAAAGTGAATTGACTGTATATTTGTGGGCGAACGCGGCAGCCAATTGCGCACAGCAGTGTCCCACAAACAGTCGTAGATTGAAAATGACCAATTTATTATTGTTTTGTTTTTTTGGAGGGATTATTATTAGATTATTAATAAAAGATTATTAAATCTTTTCTGTCCCACCGCCACCCACCCCAACCCCTTCCCCTACTCCGCCCTCCCCAATTTTTTTTTAAATCTAATTCTCCGTTTCGGCTTCTTGCCCCAGTCCTGAAACCTAAGGGAGTGGGTGGTGGGTGGGTGGGGTGGGGGGGGGGGGTCTGTTTTGACCAGTGTTACAGCGAGCGCGTGCAGATATTTGCCTCCATCGAGGCTCTTGCACTTGTTTTGACTCGTGTAACTGGGTCAAAACTGGTAACCTCAACAACGTAGCCTCCCTCGCCTGAAGGTTGGGGAAAGGCCGTGGATTTAGGGGTGTTTCGAGCGAAAAGAGTTTTGCAAAAATGTCCGCAGTAAACAAATATGGTGAGGAAAAAGCCACAACCCGAGTTGATCCTAAAATCCCCTTTCACGTTTGTCAGACAAGTGGCACTTTCACACAGTTTGCACGTCGTGTGCATTTACACCACAAAATGTTGAAAGGGATGAAATCGAGTCAGTACTTTCCGATGTTCTGTAACATTTTGTCAATCAATTGGCTGCCGCGTTCGCCCACAAATATACAGTCAATTCACTTTACAGTATGTCCTGTGAAGCGCTTTGGGACGTCCAGGAGACGTGAAAAGCGCTATATCAAAATGCAAGGATTATTATTATTATCAAACATCTTCTGGTGTGTTGTGAGGAATTAACTGTCGAGAGCAGTTCTGATGCGTGGAACAGACAGTTGGTTGCAATTGAAAGAGATTCTCAATATTGTGTGCCCGAGGTTTGAGGGGCAATGGCAGTACAGGGGTTATTAGAGGTGGTTGAGGGAGAAGATAAGGTTGCTAAAATAGAAGAATTAATGCATTTGCAGAAGTGGAATTTTGTAGACTCGCAAACAATGACAAAACCTGTGTAATAGGAGCACTGAAATATTTCAACAGTAAACAATTCAAGTTTGTCCTCTGGTTTGACTGTGCCTCCAGTCATTTTCCTGTGTGTCCCCCCCCCCCCCCACCCATAGCCTCCACACTCCTGAATCCAGCCTCCAGCTTGGGTGCAAACCATCGTCTGTCCTGTGCCTCAAGACCTCCTCTCGACGTGAAAGGTGTTATATAAATGCAATTTGTTGTTGTTGTTGTGGTCATTGTTGAGCATGTTAGGTGTTTTACCATCTCTCTGGGGTGAATGTAAGGATGCTGATTGTGGAGGTGTTTTCAACTCTTGAGAACGCTAACTGAGAGATTAAAATAAAGTTCTGACATTTCCCTTTCAATGTCACTTTTTAAAAATATTTCTGAATATCAAATTGAAGGAATTTTTTAATTTGTTCCTTACAGCAACCTTGCCAGGTTCCACTATCCTCGATCAGGTTAACTTCAACATGCTAATGCTGACCTTCAAATCCCTCATGCTCTCACTCCATATATCTCTGCAATTTTCTCCAGTCCCATTCTCCAAGTCCACTCCCACCCCGCTCAAACTCAGGCCTGCTGAATATCAAACTTCCCTTTCGCCCCACCGTTTGTCAGCCAAGCTTTTAACTACAGTTTTCTGCCAATGTTAATTCTATAAATTGGAAACCTGTTTTGAAACGATTTTAATGGGGTTCTTCCAATCTGATTTGACTGCTTGCAAATATCAAGTGTGCAAATATCAGTTGAGGTACTATCTTCACCCCACGGTATAATGGTTTAATGTATGGACGTCATGTCACTGACAATTGTAATTTGTATATTGACACTTCTTGAATTTGTGATACAGTACAGCAGAGAAGGCAGAGGTCATTTCTTTATACAGTAGTTTTTTTAAAGGGTTATAGAAAATAACAGATCAATTATTTCAGATTTAATAATATTATTCCTTGCATTTGATATAGCGCCTTATCACATCTTTGAGACGTCTCAAAGCGCTTCACAGAATATACTGTAAAGTGAATTGACTGTATATTTTGTTGCCGAAACAAGTTGACGAATGCTTTTATTTTCATGCTCACACCTGCAACTGTTCCTGTGTTAACCAAGCGCCCAGAATCAATCTAAAATTTTAGAAATGGGCACCAGTCAAGCAGCTGGAAAAAAGACATATAAGCAGAACTACCATAATGAATTGTAAACAGTGCAAGAAAATCCTATTTGGCTCTACTTCAATTTAAATTGTTTACAGAATATTGATCTTCTCTTGGGTTATGCTTCTAAGCATAACTATGAAGTGTCATCATTTAAATCTGCTTTTCAAAAAATTTTCTCCAGTCAAATTTGAAGCTTGACTTTTCACTCCCATGAAAGTAATTCCAACTAAGATATTTAATTTATATCAGAATATTTTTCTTTCCATTGCAGAAGCTGTTCAAAAATATTTTTGTTGTAATTAGATTGAAGTTAAGGATGTTGTCCTTGAAAGTTGTTGCCATGATTAAGCAGGAATGTTCACTTTAATTGAGCTTGAATGCTGAAATATAGTTGAAGGTTTTGTTTGTTCCCACCAGTATCCTTTATAATTATAAAACCATAACAGTTCAGTAGCTATTTTATGACCATAAAAGGCCCTCCTTCCTATTTAAATGCCAAATGACCAGGTGCTTTTAAGTACCAATCTGCAGTGACAGTAATAGGATGCAATTTTATGTCTGTGATTTTCCCGAGTAATTATCTCAGACATGTATAGGTGCTGAATGAAGGACAGGCATTTTCTTTCAATTGGCAGAAGTTGCTGCAGACCATTCTAATATTCCATTTTGTGGCTATTGTGGAATAGAGGCAGAGGTTTAGGAGAAGGTGACTCTTGGGGCCAATATTAGCGCCAACAAAACAAAGGATAAGGAAAGGCTTCCATTTTCAAGGACTGTAACATCAATTACAGGTACAGTTTCTGAATTTATCCTCCAGACCGTTTTATGGGGAGTTGGCACACACAGAAAAATCTAACGAGTGCTCCATGTCCCTCATAGCTGCATTAGCAGAAGCCACAGAGCATATCTCCCATCTGCTTTCCTGGCTGGAGATGATAGAAAAATGCCTTTTAAAAGAGTCCTGTCGGTTGGAGTAGAAATTAAGGAATTTGTATTTGGGGAAGGTTTAAATTGTGAAGTATGAGAAAATCGTTTCAACTGAAAAGGTCTGATTATTGTATGCTCTTCAGACAATACTAGCAGTTAATTTAGGATTTGAAAATACATTTGTCCATTTGCCTGAAAGCTGTATGTTTAAGCTTAATTCATTCAGGATTTGTTCCAACGTGATGTGCCCATCAGTCACTTGCTGAACTTCACTGGGAATTTGAAATTATTTGAAATTATTGAAATTATTATAAATAATTTGGTTATTTGAAAAAAATCACAACTCAATCTCTGACTGTTTGTGGGAACTGCTGTGCGTATTTGGCATCCATGTTTCACCCACAATATACACAGTCAAATCCAGTTTACGACATGTTCTGTGAAACACTGTGATGCGTCTCAACATGTGATAAGGCACTGTATCAAATGCAAAGATTATTATTAAATTGGACTAGTGATTTATTTCTTTGGGTCAACTTGCATTTTCTGAATTCTTAGTCCATGCAGCCAGTTGTCAGTAATTTAGGAAATGATCCAAATGACAGCTGATCCCAGTTGGCAAGACTGCAACTTTATCCCTTCACTCCCCTTTGAGCACTGGCACAGTCTCATTGCTGCACTGTTTCCAGCTGTTGATTTTTATTATAAAATTGGTGATCAATTTCAACAATCATCAGTTCATGAAACTACTTGTTACCTTACATTTTTAAATGCAGTAACAATAAATTATATTTGTATAGCGCCTTTCAAGTTGGGAGGACATCCCAAGGCGCTGGACAGTCAGGGATTTTTTACTTGAGCAAGGTATTGGGATCAGGTGAGTGGAGGGCCAGGAGGGTTAGG